GTAGGGAAATTAGAAGGGCTTGCATTTTGGTTCACTGAATAGGCCCTGAGCAGGAACTGGAAGGACATACCTGGCTAGCATGCCAATGTGCATCATTTTAATAATAAGCACAAATAACCTTACATGATCTGCAAGGGAACAAAAACGGCTTATCAGCATTCCGCAGTCAAAAATTTGCAGTATTCAGGAAGTGGATTTCCCTTTTCCTTATTTAATGTGCATCATCCGAAGTCCATTTTAAAAGTATTGATTTTCTCATGGGTATCTTTCTTTGCTTACTTGTTTTCGTGTTCACAAAAACCCTGTGAATTATAACAGAGCTGTTATTTCTCTTCAGAGAGAATTGAAGCACAGAGACGCAAAAATTTGCCTGGAGTATCTGCTAATTTGGGATAGTTGGTTTTCAATTCCTGAAGATGTGAATATTTTGGGGGGAAGGTGCCTTCCCCCTCACCCCCGAGATGAGGTGTTCAAAGTGTGTTTCAATTAAGGTGTGAGCATTCAGCTCTCATGTAAATCTGAATTCAGCATCTTGGTGCAGTATCCGAAAAAGACATGAAAAGCACAAAATGGAAGTGACCTTCCATAAAACCTGTTTCTGTGCTTTCCATGGGTGTTTTATGGCAAATGTGAGGATAGAATCTCCTCCTTCACAACAAAGTTGAACTGCTTTAACAGTGAAACTTTCATTTCTCTTTCTGGAGTCTCCATCCCCATTCATTACACATCTCTTAGCTTTCTTCATCATATGGGGCAAGAGTCCTCTGCCAGTAACCTCCTTTGCCACACGTGTGCATTCATCCCAGAGAGGTCTATCAGGGATCTTGAGTGTGGAGAGATTCTGTAGAAAAAATACCGTATGATTTTGTGAGAAACTCTCTGTCAACCAGCAATTAACTCATGAGGGACCAGCTTAGACTCTTAGGATGAGCAGTTCTCTATTGGCTTCATCCTTGCTAATTATAGAATGAGAAAAATGACATTGAGTCCTTTCTGTAAATGTTAGCAAGTAAAAATAAACAGGAAGGAATTGTATTGGTACAAACAGACAGTGACATTTCAAGCAGTACGGTGATCAAATCAACGTGAGCCGGACTACTCTTTTGGAGTCAAATAATCAAATCACTGCAGCAGAAACTAGGAACTTAAAATTTATGAAGGAAACTCAGAAGAAAGCTGTGTGATTATTAGCAAAAACTAAAAAAAAACCCTCTTTACCTGCAGCAGTGAAATAAGGTCATTGCTTATTACGTACTCTGATGTGTAAAATGTCTCTCTCATATCCGAGCCATAAGCTCAAAGCTATTCTTCCTTGATTCTGCAGCTACTTAACAGTGAACCTCTTGCCACCCCTTCCTTATCAAACCTTCCAAACACAAGTCAAATAAGACAGATTTCAAGAAAAGCTTGATAGCGTATTTTAAATTTTGCTTTAAATACACCTTCAGTGAACATCTTTACAGGATTGGGGCTTAGCGTCAAGTTTTCCTGCAAGAGCTTTCTCGGTGGATTCTGTGTGCTCATTCACTGCCCTATAACCTGTCCAAATAATAAAACAAAAGCCTCAATGGCTATTTCTGACACTTCTGCTCCTAGGAGCAGAATTTACTCAGGTCAGTATAAAAAAAACCCTTCACAGGCAAGCAGGATTTCTTGTTGCTGTTGCCCTTCACACATGCCTGTGTTTATCATCCCTCTCTAAAGTATGAAAAATGCAGAACCAGAGGAGGTGCATTTCAGGCCCAGGACCAGAAGGCCCTGGATGATCTCTGGCATCAAGGTGCAGAAAATAGGAGCTTAAATTCTGAAAGCAATAGCTGGTATTAAGACACTAAGAAAAAGTCCTAGCCATTCCATGTGTCTCAGCCAGCAAGATGAGAAATCCACGTGGCCACCTTATGATGGTGTCTCCATCCATTCTGGGAAACGCAGTTGTTTCAGAGCTGGGTGAGAAGCAGCATAGCTTATCTTGGGATACTTCTGACCTCTTGGAGGAAAGACTGCTTGAAATCTGTTGAGACAGGACCTGCTTGAACTGAAAGAAATGAAAGTTTATATTCTCATTTCCCAGCAGCTGAATGCTTGTTTAATTTTACAGCCTTAGTGCTTTTTTTTTTCCTTTTTCTTTCTGTAGTTCCCATTAAAACAAAACCAAACCCATCGCATTAGGAAGCTCCAGGCCCTGCAGTATAGAGTTCTAGTGTGCAGCCTTGTAGTGCACCAGATGTGCTGACAATGAGTGGCTCTCAGGACGGTGTGGATACGTGTCACCATAAAGGGCAGAAAACAGAACTGATACTTGTGCCCTAAAACCAGTTCTGAGATGAGACTGTATATTGCTTGTACTGCCCTTTCCTTCAGATTCTTCATCTGGGAAGCAGCAATAATTATAATAATTAGCACCATTTATGCGTAGTCATGTTATGTGGCAGTTAAAGACAGGAAACTGGAAAAAATATTCAGAGAATTAAAAGAAAATACAGAGAAATCTCGTTCAACAGAATAAAAAAATTGCCCACTGGAACTAGGATTTAACAACAGCCACACAAAAAGCAGTCAAGGATTTTAAGCTTATATAAATTCTCAGTCTTTCTGTTGCTGTAGACCAGCTGAGAGATGCTGCTATCAGTACTGGCAATGCCCTTTCACCACAGAGAGGGGTCAGGGTGGAGGCTAATTTTTAGCACAAAAGGGAATGACCAGCGCTGCTCCCTACAGCCCTTTAGGCCTTTCTGCTCAGGGACAGAAGCAGCTGTGGCGAGTTCAGGAGATGGTTGTTCTGAGCCTCCTGGGTAATGTCAGGCAAGTCACATCCCTGCTCTGTGCCTAAGTATCCCTCCTCGCATGCTTCCTTTGAAAAGGGATCTGAAAAGCGGTGTTCCCCAGGGCTCAGTTTTGG